GAGGCCACCCAAAAACAACCCAAACCCACCACCCTAAAGAACGCAGTGGTAACATGCACCAAGCCTCCACCATTGACCGTTCAATGTACCAAGGAGACTGGGCCCTGCCTGTTCGATCTTTCAAGTGATCCATGTGAATACGTAAACCAAGCTAAGAACCACCCTGAAGTACTCCAAAACATGTTGCAGTGGCTTGAGAAGTACAAGAATGACATGGTGCCAATACGAAATAAGAATTTCAACCCCGCTGCAAATCCTAATAACCGCGGTGGCGTGTGGGATGCATGGCGTTGATGACTGATTACAATACTGGCCACCCTTACATCCATCCATGCATGCATGCATCCATCCATCCATCCATCCCTCCCTCCCTCCCTCGCTCCTTCCCTCTCTCCCTCCCTCCATCCATCCATCTTCACCTTTTTTATTGACTGATCCATGGATGTTACCATGGCTGCAAATATCCTACGCTGCATGTTCTTAATGCCACCAAACTTTGCAATCAAGTTAGGAGGGGCCTGCAAGGGCTGTATGTAGTTAGCACTGTGAACAGCTTGGAAAGCCAAGTACAGAAACAATGGATCTGAAGTGTTGTGAGACTGGATGACATCAACAGCTTTTTTGGAAAATAATTCAGTGCTGTACTGCCCCCATTCCGTCCAAACATTCTGAAAACATTATAATCAAAATTAATGTAATCATTCAGACACATTCAAGGCTGTATAGTGTGGTGTGGCTATTGTGCACTTAGTGTACCTCTCACTTCTGGCCAGGGTCTAGGGTGTGGTCCCTGGACATGCCATTCAATGTGAGTATAATTTGTTAGGTCTCTACCTTGATTTAACTGTTTTTTTGTGTTTTTTTTTTCCAGGGTTAAATGAGATTTTAATGATCTATTATGAAAAACCAGAATATATTTAGGCTGCGTTCATAATGTATGGCAGAGGGGGGGGCAGGTGAAATTTAGGGGGGATCAGACAAATTTTTACCAGTAAAATGTGGGTGGGCTTGAAAATTTTTTTCAGAGAAATGGGGGGGATGCAAAATTTTTAGAAGAACCTATGAGAGATTGCCCGGGGGGATAGTTATTTTTTGGGGGACTTCAAAGGGGAAGGGGCTTAAGAATTTTTTTGTCATTTAAAGATTTCACCCGCCTCCCCCCTCTGCCATACATTATGAACGCAGCCTTAGTACCTTATCACCATCATGAAGATCAAGCCCCCATCCTCCAACCTCGTTGTTAGAATGATCCCAGTAATCGCTTTTACCGCACCAGTATCCAAAGAATGAGTCAAATCCTCTGTGCGTTGGAGTGTAGTCACGCTCAAAAAAACCAAGATGCCACTGCAATATCAAGCAAAATAACTAAACAGTTGAGCAAGAAAGCCTTTAGTTCAAGGATTATTAGGTGCCATGCATAGGAGGTGTACTCTGCTAGAGTAATGAGTCGCCTTTAACCACTGCGGTTCACAAGGCCTGGGTCGCTGTTTAGAGCCCTACAGCTGCCCCGTGTGAATAGAGTTTGTTAGGATTGTTGTTCTCTCCCCTCCCCTGGAGGGTTTTTCTCCAGGTTTACTGGTTTTTCTCTCTCCTCAACAGGACTGAGTTGAGAATCGTGCTTAAAACATTACTGTAATTTTCATAGACATGCAAACTCTTTGTTTGTGATCTGCACACTGAAGTTTGGTTTTTCACTGCTGTCAATCAAACCTTATCAGTCAGTACTATTCATATTTTTGACTTGCTGTAGCAAAAAACCAAATTTCAGTGTGCAACTTGGAGTCAAAGAGCTTGTATTAAAATTGCAGTAAATGTAGTGGTGTGGAGCGTGTCTTGTACAACATAAACATTAGCCTCTGACTAGAGAGATTGGCAATGACTCCCAGTATTATGACGAAAATTGAAAAAATTTATTGACTATTTCTTTTATTCAGTACCTTGCCTACTCCATGAGTAGCATATCCCAATTTTTTCAAGTACTGAGGTAGAAGCGTCTCATTAAGACCCAGCCCATATGGCTGCGAGGCTTCTATTACACTATGCTGCATACCTAACAAATGTTATATAAATTAATATTGTTAATATTGTCAATTACCCAATAGAAAGAGAATCCCCTCATACAATATGACAAATATGGATGGCAGAGGCAGGGGTTGGGGGAGAGGGGGTGTTTTTCTGAGGAGAAATAATATTTTTGGTAAGACTTTAAAGGGGCACTTGGATGAAAATCAATGAAAATTGAAAATGATTTGAAACTTATTTAAACTTATTTGTATGGCCCAGATAGTAGCCAAGCAACATATTTTCTTCACAGTAAAAAGTGGGCGATAAAAATGAACAATTTTATTCAGCATCCGCCAGAATTTGGGTAGGGGTGTCCGCCGGGATTCTGAAAGGGGTACCCTGTTTATGACAAAAAAAAACAAATTTGTAGACCCTGTTTATGACAAAAGATATAATTAATTGCACTGAGTTCCTGTCATTTTTTTACGACCATAATAATCAGTTTCGGTCAATACGAAAGTAGAAACCCTCAATATGACAGGAAACTCAGGAAGAACTTGGAACTTGAGTGAAATTGCATACCCTATTTATGACAAGAAGCTCGAAAAACCATACCCTGTTCAGCGGATCATCCCCGTATAGTCCATATGTGGGAGTAACCCCCCCGGGGTTGCATGTTGTAAACTTTAGCCTCTCCTAACACTTCCTGAAAAGCTGGGCTCCATCCTTGCTACATTGGCCCAACTGAGTACAACTCTAGCAAGAAATTCATTAAAGTCTGAAGATGTACGTTGGATACCATTCAAAATATTATTCAATAATAAATTTATAAATTTCTTGTTATTTTATTTCTTACTACATGTAAGTTTTTAGCCAAAGTTGTTGAGCAGCAGATCTAAATAATTGTTGTGAAGTGCAATCGTCTGGGTTAGTGTAGTTTAAGACTGTTGTTGGTAGTGACTGACATTTCAACAACGTGAGTGGAAGTCCTCTTCAGAGTCCAGTGAGAAAACAAAAGACAGTTATGGTATTTATACCTCTGGTGCAGTCGTAATAATGTGAATAGTAATGAGTCGGTATTGTTATGTAAAAATTTGTTGGTGTGGTCGCAAGTTACAGTCTTTTGTTTGAGGTTGTGAATGAGTCTTTTGTAAGGTGCCAGTAATTGTGGGTTTTTGTTCTAAGTTTGTATACCAGCTTTTAAGTAATATTTCAAACACGCGAGAGAGTTCTTCCTTTGATTTCCACACACCAAAAGTGAGTTGAAAAAACGAGGTGCAGCTGAGTTTAACTGACTTTGAGGTGTTTGGAAATCGGAGAAAGAACTCTCTCAAGTGTTTGATATTACTTCTCAAACTAATGAATATTCTTTGGAGAAAATCAAAGGAAAAGTTTACGAAATTTAATGCAAATTAAGAACACATTTCCAAACTACCGTCACAGTAGTGATTTGCTTTGTTTTCTCCTCATTAAATATTTATGAGTTTTAGAACTGTAAGGCATTGATGGTAGTTGGTGCTATATGTAATACACRTAGCAGAGTTCCATTTTGTGTCAAGTGTTCAAGACTACACTCACCCAAGCGATCGCAATTCATAACAAACTTCAACACCTGGGTTCAAACCATTTACTCTTAGACCTAAATATAAAACTAATAATATTTAATACTAAAATAATTAATAAGAATAAAAGGTATCATTTATCTTATATGGCGTCTTTAAACCAATGCAGTCTATCATGCATACAGTACTCTAGTTTTGTACTTAGTGTGTTAGTTATTTGTTTATAGAAAAAATACACTCAGTGAATTGTAAATTTGTTCACCTGTATGTATAGGATATTTTCCAGTCATTATTGCACTTCTCGTTGGAGTACATATTGGTTGAACATAGTAGTTATTCAAAATGACTCCCTTGTTTGCCAGCTCATCAATATTCGGGGTTGGGATCTGAGGTGAGCCATGGAAACTGACATCATTCCATCCCTTAAAACAACAACAACAAAAAAACAGTGTAGACAAAATTTAAGGAAATCCATATGTATTGATATCAAAAGACCATTTTGAAATCCAAATAACAGCCGAGTTCCTTGATTACAGACTCAGGGTTAGCTCGTATCAGTGTCTAAATATTCACAAATACCAATGGTAAAGTAAAGAATGCTCAACTATAACATTATAAACACTTGGAAATTCCAAAGACCTTCATTTGAACACATGAATATTCTGCACAAAGTTGAGGCTAAGCCTGAGCAACAGAGAACTCCAAACTGGAGTATTTTGGCATATAAATCACACATATATTATTTCATGTGGGAAACCCAATAACCATTAATAACAGTTTACTAACTTATTGCCCTACCATGGCCATGATATGTATGGTGACAATGCGCTCTTATGGTACTGTCTCTAAAATACTGTGGAGTTCATGTCTGGAGGCGCACTAGGTTGGACTCTAATTGCACGAGTTACCGTGTGTTGTAAATGGTAATATCAAACTCATGAATAATTCATGAGGAAAACACAACAGAAATCACGACCGTGAAGAGTGTTGTAAATCTGATACGAAACTGTGTTCATTTGCATAAACTTTAAGTTGGATTTTAAGCTTTAAGTTTGAAAATTTTAGTCATATACAGGCTACGCCTCGTGGTTGTTCATCTGATACAACACGGCCACTCATACTGCATATATTACATGCACACTGTCCCCAATACAGCAGGAAGTATTCACGTTATTTTGCCAAGAGATACACACACTGTACCCTAATTATATGGCAGAAAGTGATGGTTAGAAAAATATTATTTATTGGAAAAAATTTATATATATCATACGATAGGCCAGATTTTTTCAATGACATATTATTTTGCCAAGATATATATATACTTAATTACCAGGTCATCAGCAACTATGAAAATGATATTTGGTTTGGCTGCAGTTACACCTCCAAGTTGGAAGACGCAGATTAGAAAAGCTAAGACACAGGCTCGAAGACAGCCAACCAAACCACCTAAACTCATCGTCATCAACTGTGTGAATAAAATGAGAACAGAAATACCATGAGATATATGAGATTTGAAGTTGGGCTGTTTACAGCACTTCTCAATTACATGTGGGAAATTGTACAATTTGCTGTTGTTACGAACTTGGTTCTGGTGGACGTGAATCAAGGTGTTTTCACAATATTCCATACGTATAAGGCATATATATATGTGCTCTTGAATACTTTGATTGACATCCACCAAAACCTTATTCTGATTTCACACATGATCAATGCAGTGCTGTTACAAGGCGTCTTTCTCATCATCTAAAGAACGAGTATTTTGTGAAAAGCAAAGGGAGTATTGAGGAAGGATCAATACTCAATATCAGGGGATACAAAGGAAAGGTTGGAAGGCTTTACTTGACGGATTTAAGGTATAGTAGTCATGGGCCGTTTCTTCGATTTGTCATGTGATACAAGGTAATCATTCAGTGGTTGGGCCTCCTGTGGTGGAGCTCTTTCAATATGGCGGACAAGGCATTTTTGTCTTCAACAGTGATTATCTTAAAATTTTACACTGTGACCTACCCTGATTTTTCTACTGTAAGTCCAGGTTTACTAAGGCTACAACATATTAAAAAAGGAAGGTAGATCATTGGGCTAGATTTTGAGTGAATCGTGAAAATGTCCAAAAATTTGGATCATAAAGCACCATCAAAATGTACTGTTTTGGAAATTTAACCGATGAGAATTCATTCTTAAAGACAACAAAATGAGCAACTTTGTGTTTATAATCATGATATGTTAATATGTATCATTTGAAATTGTTTATGTGATTATTTCCAGGCGATATGGACTAAGAGAGCTTGTAATTTAAGTTTACATCATCCTATTTTCCCAAAAAGTATGGCGCCGCAAGCCCTATTAAAAAAAATCTTCTCAACGAATTAGGGGATGCCCACTCTTTAGTCCATATTTTCGTACTTTCGTACACAATAAACGTTTGTGCCAAATTAAATTGCAAATAAATCCTTTGACAATACAATCGTTTCTAAGTTATGAAGGTTTATACTTCCAATATGTTAATGATGTGACGTCTATTAAGGCTTAATTAAATATGCAAAATCGAACTGGTTCATAGAAACAGTATTTAAAAAGCATCATTATTTTACTCATGGTTTACATGAAAGCTATTTAAATCTTTTATTTTCAAAATGGCCAGCATTTATTATTACTAGTTACAACAAAAACACTCAAATACCTTACCTGACGTCACCATCACCAACATATTGGAAGTATAAACCTTCATAACTTAGAGACGCATCACTCAAATCAAGAAATATTTTACCAATCAACTATTTACTTTATGCAGAACCAGTATTGAATGTATTGTCAAAGGGTTCATTTGCACTTAAAAGTATCTATATATATATATATAAACTGCACGATCAAAGAGGATCAAAACATATTTCATTTACATCCAGGCGAGGCCCCTTTAACGATTTACACCAGAATTATCCCAACATTTGCACTGAAAGAAACCCTAATTAATTCCCTCTTGCAAATAGTCCTGAGCCCTACTTTAAACGCTACCAAAGTTTAAGTTTAATGACGGAGTTCGAGCAAAACAATGTGATTCCAAGCGAATAAAATTGTGAAATTTGTGGGCTTTTGAGCTGGTCTCTTCAATTTAAACTTCGTAAAATAGAAACAGAGATTGCATTCATTAGTATCGTTTCTCCTTACCTTGTATGTAAGGGTTAAAAAGGACCAAACAACGAGAAAATGTAAAGAGAGTTAGACGTTTCTTGATGTTTTGTGAATCCTTTCCCGTTCAAATCTTGTGCTTAGCATGTGACAAGACAAGGACACAGGGAGCCCAACAACAAACGATATTTATGTCCAACCACAGGGAGCCCGGCTTTAGAATCTGTACATGAATAAATAAATCAATAAAGTGCTTTGGGTTTCCTGTGTTGAAATTTGGTAACTTGATAGCAGATTAATGTAAGTAATTCGAGAGCAGCTTATAATTCAAATTTAACGTATTAGTGTAACGCACGCCCTAGTAAATGGTAACCATTTACTTGGGCGTGCGTTACACTGATACGTTACGTTAATCTGCTATCAAGTTAATGGTAGTACGATCACAGGGAGCCCGGCTTTGGGATTTGTACATGAATAAATGAATCAATAAAGTGCTTTGGGTTTCCTGTGTTGAGATTTGAAACAAGGCACTGATACGTTGAATTTCCGGTAATCGTACTACCAGTAACTTGATAGCAGATTAACGTAACGTATCAGTGTAACGCACGCCCTAGTAAATGGTAAGAAAGAGAGAAGGGCTGAAACTAATTTGAGTACCGATTTTGAAACCGCCGTTAAAATAATTCGCCAGGGTTTATTACCAGCAAATACAGCACCAAACGATCACATGACAAATAAACTTGCCGACAGCATGTCTTATTTATAGGGAATATTAATCTGTGACACACAAAACAATGATATTTGTAAGCCATACTTTAAATGTATGTGGACCAGTGGTTGATGGGACCAGTTAGCTCTACAACCGTGACCTCTCTGGTAAATATCCGCTTTCAAACAATAGACTTTGACAGATTCATGACAGTTTCATTGAAATGCAGCATTCTATTTTTATTTATATTATACATAGGTTCGCTTTCCGCCTCGCTCTAAACGAACTTTCTGGCGTACCACAGAGGGGAAATGTCCTATTCGTCCTTTTTCTTTATCAGGAACTCCATTTTCTTTCTCCAGAACTTTGCAGAACATTCCATTTAACCTTGATAGTGGAACCTGGGATTCCGCTCCAGATACAGAAAAGTTTTTCAAAAGCCTGAAGAAAAAAACATGAGATTTTAGATCCTGACGACGAAATTAACGGTCAAATATTTTGAAAAATATACCTTGCTCACCATAACACAAAGCATTGTGCTCCTTGAATATTTGATTTGTTTTCATTTGATTCCAGATTCTGATTGCCAGCACTCGTCACGTTGACATTCAGACTGCGTTCCTCTAAAACTCATTAGCACTGGTCCCATCAACCGCTGGTGCACATGTAACGATAAACTTGCCTTGTTTCAGCCCTTCTCTCTTTCTTACTATTTACTAGGGCGTGCGTTACACTAATACGTTACGTTAATCTGCTATCAAGTTACTGGTAGTACGATTACCGGAAATTCAACGTATCAGTGCCTTGTTTCAAATCTCAACACAGGAAACCCAAAGCACTTTATTGATTCATTTATTCATGTACAAATCCCAAAGCCGGGCTCCCTGTGGTACGATTACCGGAAATTCAACGTATCAGCGCCTTGTTTCAAATCTCAACACAGGGAACCCAAAGCACTTTATTGATTCATTTATTCATGTACAAATCCCAAAGCCGGGCTCCCTGTGGTCCAACCAGTGATCTCTTAGTCTCCCTCGCATCCGTTTTTAGTGTCGCGTTGCGTGACGACCGACACTAAAAACGGATGCGAGGGAGACTAGTGATCTCTACATTGGCTAACGAAATAAAGCGATATTTTGTTTTAATGGTTGGCAAATTTGAAATGAGAAAAGATTCCTAACGTCAATATTTTTAAACGCTAGTATATTGGGAGAGCCAAGAGCCATAAAAGTGCCATGAGTACGAACCAGCAAATCTATCAGTTTTTCGAAGTATGCAAAGGCTTTGGGTCAAAAAGTATTGAAAACGAAGGCATCTAAAATAAGGGCGGATTCAGAGGAGAGGTCCAGGGTGCGGACTACCTCCCTTTATACAACGCGTTGTTTTCCTCTTTTTTAACATACGAAATATTACGATTTATTATATAATAAAATAAAATATCTATTCTTCTCTATTTCGAAAAATTGATATTTTAACACGTGAAAATAACACCATTGCGATGGCTATTCAAAAATACACGGAATGAATTGCCTGAAAAAACAAAAACATACTTCATTCAAGAAATTTATCTTCTCGTCTTGAAAATCTCTCACTCGTTCGTTCGCTGCGCTCACTTGTGAAAGATCTTTTCAACACTCGAAGATAAATTTCGTATCT